TGCATATGCAACTTGAAAAGAACTGTGTGCATAAAGTTTGATGCTTGATTCAGTACTTTGTCTCACAGTTTGGAGTGAGTCAACTGACTTGTACAGTTCACACAGCAGACTTATAGGAAACTTTTGAAATAAAACCCAGGACTTTTGTGCTTTGGTTCTATTTGTTATTATTCTTTTTCTTCATGGTAATATCTGTACATGTCCCTTCTGGAGTTGTTTACATGTGAAAGTAGAATTGGTGCTTAGCACTGGATTTGTAAAAGGATCTATGGCCTGAACTGCCATTTTAATTGTTTAAGAACAATTCTAGTTCCTCAAAACCTCTGCTTTGCTCTCGAATTTAAAGTTTGCAAGCTTAAAAATTGACCAGTAAAGATCCTCAAAAGCTTAATTATGTGCCTCTGTACATGTCCATGACTACTTTAGTCTTAACACTGCTGAGTAATGTGGCTTGCAACTAAATTCCACTTAGACTTGCTGAGGTTTTTCTTAGTTAGAGTATAGCTACTAGGCTGATGCAAAATAAATGAGATCAGATAGACATGACTATCTTTTGTCCAGTCGCTCAGTGGTTAGAAAACATGTGGTCCAGATTCATATGTATACTCTGCTTGAGATCACTTCTGTTTATGTCCCTGTTATTCTAAGAATGTCATAATCCTCAGAGAATGAGGAGTCCCGTAGTGGGGTTTTCATAATCTATTATTTGAGTTTGGCATAGGAAAATAAAATATTGATGGGAAATACTACAATAGAAAGAGCCTCCCTCTTAATGTCCCTCCCTCCCCAACCATTGCGTTGCGCTCCTGTTTGCTGCGAGCGCATTTGCGTGAATCTGGAGATCTGGTTTCTGCCACTGCCTTGGAGAACATAGAGCATTTTCTATAGGATCCTGAGAGAGCTTCCCTTCCAAAGTCCTTGTCCCTAGAATAGTTGACTAGGAGAAGTGATTTCAAATAAATTCAAGAATTTTATATTTTTCAATAAAAATATACAGTTTTTGTAAGCAGAGTAACTTTTATTTCACAGATACATCTCTTGAGACTCTGGACATATTGCTGAGAAATACACCAAAGTTTTTGTATTTCATGCCTTCTGACTCAAAGGCTGTATAATTTCATCTCAGAACTTACTCACAGAAGGGTCACAAGCCAATGTCATGTAATGAACGCTGGGGGAAAGGAAAGGATTAGATTTCACAGGATGAATGTTGCTGTTCTGTGGTAATATATATCTGGAATTACTCCACAGAGAGCAGGAGAATTGCTCTAAATATTTGCCCCAGCAACTGAGAATAGAAATAGTTTTGTAATACCAGAAGCTCAGGTCGTGCAAATAAATGTGATTTGCAGCGGACCTTTACCTACCCATCTGGCAACTTATAGCCCAATATTTAAAAATAATACCTACAAAATAATCCTGCTATCAGCCTTTGTTTTCACATTGATTTTAAGAAGGAGGAAAATAACTTTGCACATTATATGTGCTGTTACAGGAGAATGTTTTTTGTGGTGAAAGTCCCCTCGAGTCCTTTCATACCAATGATTAATTTTTTCTTAGAGTGGGTGCCTTGCATGGCTCCAGTCACCTATGAAAATATCCTTCTTGCAAGTATCAGTGAGAAAAAAAAACTTCTTGCAATATGTGCGTAAATGGATCTTGGGAGATCTTTTCATATATGGAAACGGAAATGTTATCTTAATAGTAGTATTCCTATTTTTGTTTTTTCCAGTGATGTATGGCTGTGTTTTTGATCTGGATATTATAGAGATGTACAGTGTAGGGGACATCAGAGAACAGGACAATCTAAATTGGATTTTATTTTTGCTATCTCTTTAGTGTTCGTATTGATACCATTCAGGTAAGGTATAAACGGATAAAGTAAAACAAGATAATCATTTGGCTGATTCAAATAGAAACATTGAAATCTCTTGCAAGTCTTTGGGGTATAGGTAATGGAAAATTTTCTTCAGAACATCTTCAGATATTCTGAGAATGTGGAATTTTGTGACAGTTTCCTGTGGTATAAGATAGGAGTATCTGCATTAAAGCCAACTAACTGTACAGGGGTAAAATACGGTTGAGCAGGGGCAAACTGGGTGCATAAACTGTAAAAAGGTAGCCCTGAATGCAATATGTTCCACAATGTGATAGGGTTATGGTGAAGTAGTATATACTACTTGTGTTTTATTTTTCCTTTGGGGATAGGAATTATTGCAGGCATTCTGGCTTTTTGGTAGAAATTCTCCTTACAAAGCAGATGGAGTCTCGCAATGCTTTCTGTTCGTACATTCTCGCCACACCAGCAGTCTATCCGCTGTGCTTTAAACATGGGTTGATCTGCTCTCTTTTTTTCTAGGAGATGATAGAAGTCTTTCAAGCTCATCTTCAGATACCAGCCACTCAGATGTTAGTGTTGGGAGCAGATTGACAATTTGGCCTGAACAGTCTTCAGCCAGCACTTCTCAGGAGAGTCACGGACTGGCAGCAGCAAAGGGCATTCATCTTGGGGAAGAAAAGACCCATCCGGAAGGGGCACGTGGCACGAGTAAACCACCTCCAAAGCCTCTCCGATCCAGACAGCTGCAGGAAATTGGTCGTCAGAGTTCTTCTGACAGTGGAATAGCTACTGGTAGTCACTCTTCTTACTCTGGAAGCTTCTCTTCCTATGCTGGGAGCTTGGACATTTGCCATGGTGATGAGTTTGGATCATTGCTAAGCTTGCCATTGAACTTTCCTTCAGATCAGAATTTATGTACTTGTCCTCACAGTGAGTCCCGGAGAGGTGCAGGCTCAGAGTATCAGGTTCCCAGCTCTCTCAAACATGTTTATGATATCCCCAGGAGTTTGTTACAGGCAGCTGGTAAAGATGTGCAGCTGAAGAGTGCAGATTCCACGCAACCCAAGGACCAGACCTTCTCACCTCAAGGCACTAGTGACCCAAAATTGCTGGTACCACACTTGGAAGCACGGAGGGCACCTGAGCACAGCCAGGACAGAGGGAGGCCTTCGTCCTTACTCTCAGAAAGCACCAAGGACTCAAGTGATGAGACATACGTGGATTTTGTTTCAAGGTGGTCAGATACAAAACCACAAGGAGAGGTGTCAGACTCCAAAAGTAGTGAGTTGGCACCACCTAGTGGAGTCTCAGCTGACCCCTATGACACATGTAACCCCCACCTTGGGATGACAAGAGCTCTTTTTTCAGCTTGTCCAATCTGTGGTGGAGTAAAGGTAAATACCCAACACTGAGCAGATGCTAACAAAGCCTTCCTTAATTTAACACCGTTAATTTAAAAATTATTTAAGTTACAAGTCACAAACGTTATTATTTTCTTTATATTTTTGACAGGTAATAACTTTTGTGGTGTTTATGCTCAAGCTGAGAGGCTTAGTACATGGTTTTCTCAAAATCTGTGCCTGATCAAGAAAACACTGAACAATACAAGCCATCAATCCTTACTTCTAAATTGACCAGTTTTGATTTTAGGTGTACGGAAGTGACTTGCAGTGGCGGTGCTAGAAGCTTTATGGCACAGGGGAGGGCTGAATTTGTCCTATAGCAATAACCTAGCGTGAAGGACATTGATCTGTCTTGGTGCTGGTGTTTCATGAGAAGAAGAAAGGCAGACCAAATAGTATGTGCTGCTATCTAGGGTGACCACAGTGCATATTTTTATTTTTTTGGGGGTTTCCTTTCATCATGTTAGTTTGTGAGCATGCCTCACACAAGAAGCAGCCAGATCAGTGAAGCTTCTCACTGGGGAAAGAGAAGATAGTCTAATTAGCATGCCAATTCACAACAGGTCACCTAATCTGGTATCATATTTATAACTGGTGGCCAGAGCCACATGCTTTAGAGGAGGTGTACAGAAACTCATTACTCGTCCACTAACAGGATAGCCTCTTTCCAGAGAAAGTTCTTTTTGATCACCAGTTGCAGAAAGGCTTAAATCCTGAAGGATGGAGATTCGTATGCCTTTTCTAAACACATTTGTTTTCAGTTTCTGTTGGTATGATTTGGAAAATCCTATAAATTTCTTTTGAATGCTACTAAATTCTTGGCTTTTTATGGCAGTAAGCTTTATAAATTAATTGTGCATTGTATGAAGAACATATTTCTGTTTCTGTCCCTTCTGGGGAAGACTTTGTTAATGTTTTTGCTGAAGTGGAACAAGATAAAGCTGTTTGTGCTGATGGGGTCTTGAAAGGCTGGGAGGGTTAGAGAACGTGTTCAAATATAGGGAATGTGTGAAGTAGAGGTTCAGCACAGAGATGTTTGTTTGAGGAATTAAGTACTGCCGTTGAAGTGTGTACATTTTAAATGAGCATGTGGGATTACATAAATCAGTGCTGTGTAAAGGGTTTGAGTGCATAGTATGCTAGAGAGAAACTACAAGATTATAAGCTTGAGGGACTGTTTTGTTCTGAAGCTTTTCATGTGTTTGTATCATTGACTGTCTCCGCAAGCCTGCAAACTAGAAGATGCTCTGTCTGAGGTACTTCTATGGCCTCCATCACGGCAGTGTGTGAGCACCTTGGACATTGCCTTCTGTCGTATATTTATTGTTGCAGCGTTTGGGAGGTAGGGAAGCGCTGGTGTAACAGGCTACAGTGTGTCTACCCTGATGGTCAGGGTCAGTGTTTTTTCAAGGCCATCCTTGCCAGCTGTCTATGTCAAAGGCCCTCTTTAGCCCTCCAGCCTACTTCTGAAAGCTCTGTTGGACTCGAGGGCCTGTGAATCAGCCTCCCGGTTCTGTTCTTTCTGCAGTGTGCTGCTTGTATCTGCTGCCTGTAATTAGAGAGGTGTGGGGAAGGAGGCACAAGACTGTTTCCTAAAAGGGCTCTGCCCTGGGATCAGGAAGCTCCGGGATTAATTTGTTGTAAGCAGCAAGGAAAGAATTAGCTGGGGTGGGGTTAGCTCACATGGTCTAAATGTTTGTGGGTGATCTAACTTGTCAGTTTAGACATACCTTCAGCAATTTATTGAAGTCTACCCTAGGGGGTGGCAGACAGGCACTTGAAATTGAGTATCCCATTGTAAATCTTCAAAACCATTAAGGCTAAATTATGCCACTCCTTCCTTAGCTACCCGTTTGCTCCCCCACCTCCCCCAACTTCCCAAGTCTCATTTTTATTTTTCATATGTACCATCAGGTTTTGTAGTGATTCTCGTTGCCCTAATAATACCAGTTGGCAAGAATCTCAGGAATAATCAGAATTTTAACTTAATGACAGAGAAAAAATGGTGCAGCGCTCCTGCTAATTCTTGCTTTAGCATGAGATATGTTGTTTGCTTCTTTTTTCCTACCCATTTGAAAGTATTCTGAAAAGAGGCTTCATTAAATGATTCATGGGTTTGTTTCTACTTTTAAAAGAAAAAAAATAACCTTTAGATACATTTTTCTGAATAGTCAAAATGAATTATTTTAGCAGTGTTCGATGGACACTATTTGTTTTTTCTCATCATGAATACCGTGAAAGCACAAATCCATATGCTGTAACTAAAAATTAATTCTTATTGCTCATTCTCTGAAAAGAATACGTCTGAGAAACAGTTAGGGCCACATTAGGGCTACAGTTAGTTTTCGCATTTATTCAAATTCATGTTCAAAAGGCTTTGTGCCAATGTTTGGCATGCCTATGCAATTTCAAGTTAAGCTGTTAATTAAATTTTGCTTAAAATTGTGTTTTTAATTGTTTTTAAAAGCCTACTATTTAGAGAGAATGTGTGACCTGGATAAAGCAAAGTCTACAGCACCTAAGTATCTCTTTATTTTCTGCTCTGTATGTAAACTTTGGAAAATCAAGGTGAGATCTGGGCAGGGTATAGGAGTTCAGCATGTGAAGGGTTGAAGACAGGTTGCAGGATGGAGTCATGCATATGGGGAAGGATGGTGGCATTTATGTTTAGGATGGACTAGGTTAAGAATCACTTTGCCAGTGATGAGGATGATGGTGAAAATAATGTAGGGAGAACACATTCTGGGAAAGTGCCAAGATTCAAACAGAACATAGGGCAAGGAATTTGTGTTTCACTCTGGATGAAGAATAGAAATAACATGAAAAAAACCCCACCAAACACTGCTTCTATTACTTCTGTATCATATTTTGTATTAGACATTGGGGATTAGTAAGCAAGCGTGCAGGGTGTTTTGTGTTCTGTTGTATGTTGCCACAGTGTGCTGAAGATGTCTTTCATTACACGCTTGACAAGGTGTGCCTTTGCCACTTAATTTTTTACCTAGGTGAGTTCTTTGTGTAGTATAAGGATATTTTAAGCTCAGAATGTTGGATTGCTGTGGGATTTTAAAGTAAGCTGCAGAGATTTATTATTAGGCTCTATTTTTCAATTTTCAGATGCCTGGCTGATAACGGTAGGAATAGCATTTCACCGTACGTATGTTGCTCTGTAACTTCGTTTGATGCTATAGCTTGAGAAACGTTGTCAACCTTTTTTATAGGGTGTCTTTTTTTTAAACTCCATGATTGTTTGTAAATTTTCTTAGAAGTCTGAAAATAAAATTATTTTCCAACTGCTTTTGTCCCTTTCCATCTGCTAAGTACTGTTTTTATTTTTGCTTTGCTTTTTCTCCCCTGATCCTCCTCCTCTTACGTTTTGAATGAATGTGGAACAATTATGGCTGTTTCTTGGTACTACTTAGTGTGGTGTGCTCGCATCGGTGTTGACAACTTGAAATGTGCCTATTAGGAGGAATGACTTTTCTGTGTTTCTGGCTTACCCTAAACTCATCTTTATGTTGGTGGGAGTTATTATGTGCATAGAAATATTGCTTGATTACAGTTTTGATAGTAAACTTGTCATGACAGGAGAAAAGAAAGCACCAGTTTGTTGTATGTGTCTGCTATCGTCAATCATGTATTGATATTCAGCCACCTATTTTTGCTGATCATTTGAAAATACCAAAAATTCCTTGGAAATGAGGGTCCCAAATTAGGAGCAACTCTATCCAAATCATCTATAAGGTTCCTGCTGTGACAGTAACTGAACGCCTCATAAACTTTGAACCTCCCAGCATATCTGTAGTAAGCTGAAATGCAGGAATGATATGGTCTCAATTCACAGAGGAGTTTAGGTGCTTTGTCATGTAGCAGGATCCATAGCCGTGAGTGGGTAAGATCCCCTCCCTACACAATGATAGGGAGATCTGGTACCTGCTTTTGGGGGTGGGGGAAGCCGATCCCAGATTAAGTGGGGCATTGCTCCAATTAGCTGTTAGGAAATGTGTCTCTTTTAGTCTGTTCTGTAGAAACTGCTTTATTTTGAATTAAAAAAAATCAAGTACTCAGTAGCTCTGAGAGCAGAGGCCATATGCATGTTTGTACTGTGATCCTTGAGCAGGCACCGTACCCAGCCTATTTAATCACGCACTACCGTGTCCTTGCAGTGCTTGTTAATCAAATGCACCCTCTTGTGAGTGCAGAGTCTCTTGCTAGATGTAGAGCAACTGTGAATACCTGTTTCCATTGTGCGCTGTAGAACAGGGAGAGCCGAGAGAGAAGCGTGGCTAATGTGAGAGGCAGAAAAAGGACTTGAGCTCTAAAGAACAGCTTGCACTGTAGTCTGTTTTGTTGTCTTGCCTGGACTGATTTAACTAAGGTCACGAAAAGCCTGTAACAGGGTGGAGATGTACAGGGTTCAGAAGACTAAGGTTGTGAGACTTAACCTTGGTTTTAGCTGGAAAGTCTCCTTTCGTTGTAAAGGTCGCTTTTGAAAGTGGTAAATGAGAAGACTTGTAAGGTGTAAATTTATGTAGTGAGACTGGAGAAATAGTGGCTGCAGATTACATTGCCACTTCCATGCAATTGGGAATGTTTTAAGCGTTTTTGGTTTTAATCAAGTACTCTTCTAATCTAGTACTAAAATAGGTACTAAAGAAGTCATGATACATTGTTATAAACAACTTC